TCGGGGGTCGGTTACGTGTAGGGAAGGTATTATGCACCCTACAACACCTTATCGTACCCTATGACAAAATTAGCGTGATAGAGAATAAAAGTTTAAATATTTAGTCCCCTTTTATTAGTAATTATTTACATGTTTTACTTAAAATTACACGGTTGAAACTAAGATGTCTACATGGTTGCTTTTATTGATAGCAATGTTTATAAAAAATAGTAGACAATGGAGAAAGAAATAGAAATACCTCTTGAACAAGCTTTTATAAAGTGCTTCCAATATGATAGATCTGAGGTGCTTTTTGGCTGCCTTACACACTATAATTCACCTTATAATTCTCAAGAAATACAAAGAGGGGGAAGAAAGAAAAGATTTCAAGTTATCTAGGACTCAAGTAAGCAATTTTTTCTCCATTTTCCCCGTCCCTAAGCACTATGCACAAGGATCGCATTTATAGACGTCAGTCTTAACTGAAATGACCATTTTGATTGTTGGAAAGGGCTGCTCCATATTAGTTTGCTCCATATTAGTTTGTTGTGAGCAAATTTTGAAATTGGAACGGCTCATTCCAGGTTTGAAATTTACTTATAACAACTTGGATCAAAACAGCCCATTCTGATTTAGGAATGGCTCGTTTTGACCAAGGTTTCTAGGTTGTTTTAGAAGCTTGGAACGGCTCATCCCAGATTGGGAATGACTCGTTCCAGGATCCTAATTTGAACCTTTTAGGCTTTCATATCTTCTGATGTTATTCTGGTCCATTCTTATGTCTATGAGTCATTCTGATGTCATGTTGGTCCGTTCTGACGTCACATTCAGGTCTTCTATAATTCCTTTGTCTCGTAAAAAAATGTCTATTTCCTTATATGTATGTTTCGGACGAAATTAGGTGTCTATAGCTCCTACCATCAAAGTCTATTACAAAATCTTTAACTTTATGACATCATCACATATCATGTCAACAAAAGATGACTTCATGATGACATCATCATATTCCAAGTCATCATAATGCAACACCATTAGTGTCATGTCAGCAAAATGTCATGTCATCATGTGTCACATCAATAATAGTATCATGTCAACAAAACGGTAGAGAGACCAAAAATGAAAACAAATAATTTACAAGGATGAAAATGAAAAAATATGGACTTACAAGAAGAAAAATGAAAAAAAATTACATATTGTATAAATTCTCTAAACTCTCTTATTCACCACACATCATTTCTTCCTTTGTTAACACCCACATACCTCACAAGGAAAAAAATACACACTTTATGTCTTAATAGTAGTGATCATTGCTTTGTCTCAATTAAATCTCAAAAGTGATGTCATAATGGGTCCAATCCAACAAATTGACCTATATATGACCCATCAAAATGAGTTGGATTGTAATTTTCAACCCTCCAACTCAAACAACCAAACTTTTACATTCCATCACTTTAACAGCTTAAATTATGAGTCGAGTTGGATTGACCTATCAAGTTAATCCTTTGAGTTGCCTACATTTTTGTTTGTCTTTATCTATTAACATATTATTTTATTTGTGGTTGAGTACTTAAGATTTATTTATAGTTGTATTATGTACTTATTTTATTATTATTGATGGACTTATTTATGTTTGTATTGTAGACTTATTTTAATGTTGTCATGTCTCTTGTCCAAGTGAGACTAAGCCATTATCCTTAATGTTACAATTAAGGCAACTCCCAAAAAGGTTACAACTGAGATAGGATAACAATGACTAATATTAAGGCACAATATGTATAATTTTCCTTCTAATGTATGTACATGTTAAAAAAGAAAGGAATGATATGTGCGTATGTGGTAAATGAAAATTTTTTCAATATTTATGAAATATGTAAATGACCATATAGTGTTGAACAAGAAAAAAATGAAGAAAAAAATAAAAAAAAGTAATTATTATAAAGTATTTATTTATTAATTAACTTACATTAATTTAAATTAAATATTAAATATAAACAATATATTTTACCAATACAACAATTTTTTTCCCTTTTAGTCCATGTAATTTCTTTTTTCATTTTACATTTCTGTAAATTCAATTTTTCTTCTTCATTGAATTTTCTTTTAGTCCCTCTATGTATTGTTCCTATAAATTATTATTAAGATAACACTAATAATATGACATTATACTGATTTGTCATACGATGACATTTTTTTTATTAACGTAACATCATTAAGTTAAAATTTTCATAATGGACTTTAATTACGATAAATGAAAATTTTGAATTTAACATAAGTATTAAAAAAAAACATTAAAAAAAGAAAGAAAAAGCACTAAATTATATATAAAAAAATTATATTTAATATTTATTTTTTACAAATATTAAATCAAAACCTGCCGTGTGGAATCGAAAATGGAAGAGTAAGAAAAAGATACACATGTCTATGTAAGAAGGGATATCGAATATAGATGTAACTGTCACAGCTGGTAAAAGATTAAATCTTTACTCTCTCTCATGTATGCCTTCTCAGTTCTCACTCTTTGATTCTCTCACTTCATCATCACCCTTTAAAATTAATAAAACTCGCACACACTATCCTATAGCTTTGTGAATAAGCACCGAGTCTGAGAGGCCACCCTATTTCCCGGAAACTAAACTTTCTGGGAAAATATAAAAGAAACGTCATGAGAAATGCAAAGGAATGTGTCAGCTTTTTTTGTCCATGTGGGGTGACCGAAAAAATTGAGCTTTGAAGCACCACCAGCCTTTTCCTTTTGAGGTTGCAGTTTCCACAATGCACAATGGAATCTCAGAGTTTCGAGGCTCTGTCTGCGAATCCCGCTTTTGAAAGTTTTCCGCAACATGTAATGCTACCCTTTTTTGGCTCCATTTTGAACCCCTAAACTTTATGGTCAAAAGGTGAACCCATTTTCTCTCACTCTTGCTCCTGTCATGTTGCTATTTGCCAATTGAATTCAAGTTCTTATGTGTTAGGGGCTGATTTGAAATCTTGTGGGGTGAAGTGTTCTTGTGGCTGTGGCTCTTAAAGTTGAGGTTTTGAGTGTGTAGTTGGGTTATTTGAGGATTTTGAGGGATACCCCATGACAGCTTTTACTTCAATTAGTGCATTTTGTATGTGAAAATTTGAGATCTGTTAAGGGAGTGAGGGGAACTCAATCACTGTGCACTTGGTGTTTGTCAAAGTTCTGGTTTTTATGGTTTCTTAAGTAAATGAGGCTTTAAGTGAATTTTATGGGGAGCTGATGCCGGTGAGCAATTAGAGTTTCAAGAATCCATATCCAGTGGAGTGTTTTGGAGGGTTCTCAAGTTATCAATGTCTGGAGCTCCGAGATTGAGGTCTATGAATGTTGGTGATTCAGAGGTAAGGCCTGTGCTTGGACCAGCTGGGAACAAGAGTGGCTCTTTGGGTTCAAGGAAAGCAGCTTCAAAGCCTCTGAGGAAGGTTGAGAAGTTGCTGGATGAGGTTGCATCAGTCAAAGAGAAGAAACCCCACCAAGTGTTGTCTTCAGTTGTCACTTCCTCTCCTCACTCACATTCCGCCAGTGTTTCTTCAGTTCTCCGCCGCCACGAGCAGTTACTGCATTCTAATTTGTCTCTCAATGCCTCATGTTCATCTGATGCCTCTACAGATTCATTTCATAGCAGAGCGTCTACCGGAAGATTGACTCGCTCCTATAGCCTTGGTAGCAGAAGAAAGTCCTGTGTGTCAAAGGCAAGAAGTGTTGCTTCTGATGGTGTGCTAGAATCTCCCCCTGATTGCTCACAGTCCAAGAAGAGGTGTGCTTGGGTCACTCCTAACACCGGTTTGTTCTTCTCCTTTGGCTTTTTCCTAAATTATGAAGAAAACATTTATACTAAGTGTCTGTTTGCATAAACTTCTCTAGAAGTACTTCTAGGAGGAAAAAATATGAAAGAAAATTGAAATTAGCTTTTTCATAAGCTATAACTAGCTTATGAACAAGTTAAAAGTAAGATCTTGAAGAAGCTAATAGGTTAGAGCTTCTACAAATTAACTTATGAATAAGTTATTTTTAGCTTATGGAGAAGCTTATTTTTATTTTTCTTTCTTATTTTTCCCTCCTAAAAGTGCTTTTGAAGAAATTTTCCCAAACAGACCCTAAATTATAAAATGACAAAGACAGTAAAATATATTTATCACAATGGTTGTTCTAAGTTTTAAGCCTTTCGGCAGATACTTCAGTTTCTTTTGAATGTAGAAGTACTCCCGGAAATGTGTACATGGTTGATCATTTTAAATTTGGCTTGCCTTAATTTAAACCCGTCTTGTGAATTGTGTTATTATCATTTAACTTAAATTTTATTTCTTGAATATTTAGATTTTAAATTAAGTTTATACCCCCATTTGGATAGCCTAGTATGTACATTCAATATAAATTGTCAAATGTGCAAGAACTCTGGTTTATTACATAATTACGTGTGCTTCTTAAGATATTGAGTTCCTTCCATTTGTTAGTGTTACATGTAGTCATGTATTGTATACTGTGGGTTTCTAGGCATAATATAATAAAAACTTGCATTAAATGTGTACCTTTTTATAATTGATGTTTTTGCACGTTGAAGAGAAATTTGGGAATTCTAAGTGTTTAAATGATATGAACATATCTCCGTAGTAATTCCACCATGATACTTATTATGAGTTTCAAGTTCTGAGCTAGATTTTTTTTTCTGACCAAGTTTGTCTTTATGCTAGAACCGTGTTATGCTACATTCCACGATGAAGAATGGGGAGTTCCGGTACATGATGACAAGTACGTCATATGCTGAACAAATATTTTATGCTGTTTGGAAGAGGGATATAGCTTCTATTGGATGCTTTGCTTGAACATTTTTTATCTCATGCAGGAAACTGTTTGAGCTTCTTGTACTTTCCAGTGTTCTTGCTGAACTAACTTGGCCAGCCATTCTAAGCAAAAGACATACTTTTAGGTATTCTTCCGTGTATAGTTTTTTTTTCTTCTTTCTTTGCTTCAAATCTTTAGTCTCTGGCTGCTTGAAGACTTTGCCCTCAGCTGTAGCCTATTTCCTCAACTATGTTTGCATCATTTTTGCTAATATGGTTCTTTTCAGGGAAGTTTTTGTAGACTTTGATCCAGTTGCTGTGTCAAAACTAAGTGAGAAAAAGATGATGGCACCTGGAACTATTGCAAGCTCCCTACTTTCTGAAGTTAAATTGCGTGCTATAATTGAGAATGCTCGTCAAATATCAAAGGTAGATTAATTTTTCCTTGGCTTATGTAACCTTCAGAATATGCAAACTTTGGGTTAGTTCGCTAATGTTTATTTCTTCATGGACCATTGATTGGAAACCAAGATAACCATGGGATTAGCTTTGCCAGTTGCCAGTATTTCTTTTATATTAGGTTATATTTACACCATCCAGGGAACATTGTATTAATTTTACCAGCTGAAGTAGGTGGTAGTTCAAATTTCCAAATCCATTATTTATGACTCTAGTGGAGTCCTGCGGCACCTGCTTGTTTTATCCTTATTTGGATATGTTGGCAAAGTCAACTTCTTAATGTCTTGCAGGTAGATTGGAGCTTTTTCTTATGATTTTTTATAAATAAAAAAGAAATTGTTTCATTTCCTGCATTGATCTTTTGAGGAATTACCCAAACAGAAAAATAAGTCAAACCTATTTCAGAAAAAGAAACAGAAGGTACTGATTGCTAATGTAAAATTGAATGATCTTACTTACAATGTCATCTATCAAAATTTGTGTGCCAATGGTTTCTTTTATAGGTAAAAAATGTGCACAACCAGTTTATATGACCAGTGCTATCACATCCACATACTAACCCATTACAAAATACACAGATTCAATTTTTTTATAGTTTTGTGAGGGTGCTTCTCTCTCTTAGCCATTTCAAACTAAAACATCAGGTCTGTGTGGTTCTGTTTTTCCATTTTTTTTTCGGTGCAAGTAGCTTTCCCCTAGTATGCCTGCAGTTGAATTTGACAAAATAACGGGACCACTTGAACTTTAATGCAGCCACCTTAGTAGTTGGTGCACAGTTTACGAAAAAAAAAAAGTGTAAATAGAATCGATCAATTCTGTTTTGGTAATTGACACATTTTTTCCCCCTTTAGAAGTATTTCAAGTTACTTTTCATACTTATATAACTTCGACCCTTTAGGATGTCTTTAATTTTGCTTGATCAATTGAATATCTTTATCTTTTCTTTCCTCCTGTTCTCCATAGCAAACAATTGAATGACTTAAAATTGCTGTTTAATGATTATTCGATAAGGTAGGTAAGGCAATAAAGATAAATTGGATGGTGGTCCTGATCCTTAGTAAATTGCATGACCCCATATGGGACAAAGCATGATATTAATATTCAGTACAGAGCTTGTAGTAATCTAATTTACAACAGTGATATGTAACCCAATTATTTGGATTCTTTAACCTACCAGCAGGCTTAGGTGGGTGGTACTTTGGTACATCCCAAAGTCATCTATCAGCACCATGATACCGTTTTTAACTAAGCTGCCATAATTGCATTTTTCATCATGGCTATGCCTATGATTGTCATTGTAACTAACCTTCTGCAGGTTTTTCCCGGTGCCAGGTCATAGACGAATTTGGGTCATTTGACAAGTATATTTGGAGTTTTGTGAACCACAAGCCTGTAGTTAGCAGATTCAGGTATCCGAGACAGGTTCCTGTGAAAACACCAAAGGCTGATGTTATTAGCAAAGACCTGGTGAGGAGAGGTTTCCGGGGTGTAGGCCCCACGGTGGTATATTCCTTCATGCAGGTTGCCGGTTTAACCAATGACCATCTAATCAGTTGCTTCAGATTTGACGAGTGTATAGCCGTGGCAGAAGGGAAGGAAGAGAATCATGCTGAACAAAAGGAGAGTGAAAACATGATGGAATCAGATCTGTCCATTGCCATGGATGATTTGAGTTTCTCCTCAGAATGATGCTTCAACTTTGGTGTTAGTGTACTACTCTTTTAGCCATAGATTTAGTAATGTTGGAGGGGAACATGTGTATAAGTCTCATCCAGTCCCTAAACATTATGGATTCTTAGATTGTAGTTTACTAAAAGCACAAATGAATTAAATCAACTTGGTACCCTTTCTGCTGTACCAGGCTTCTGCCTATGAAATTGGTGTACAATTTTTTGTACAGTTTTAAAAGATCAGTGATTAGAATTTTCTTTGATGCCAGGGGCAGTAAGCAATAGATGTAATCAAGGTTGTCAATCTCGAGAGTTTACGTGATCTCGTGGAGGCTCCGTAAACTCGTATCATAAACTCGTCTCGTAAACTCGTAAGAGATTACTCAATAAATAATTATAAAAATAATTAAAATTATATAATAAAATTATAACATAATAACTACCATTTAATTTTGTATTAAAGCAAAATAATAAATTGCAGCAAATAAAAAATAAAATGACAGCAACTAAAAAATTAAGAAAAGACTAATATATTAAATAGAGAATAAAAATATATTATATAGAGAAAAAAAAAGGAGAAAGAACGCAGTGGCTAATGTTACTTGACTTAACGTTTGCGCGGAGAATGACAAGTGCGACTGCATGCATCGACAGCGAGTGACTGCGACTCTCGGAGAACGAAGTGCAGAGGAGGAACGACGCGAGCGGCGCGGATCTGCGCACAGATCGGAATGACGCATAGAGGAGCAGCAGCACGGCGCGAATCCAAACGACGCTCGACGGAGCAGCAGTGCGAAGGAGAAAGACGTGCGGAGGAGAAGCAGACAAAGTGCGAAGGAGAGAAGAAAAAGAATGAACGCCGAGGGTTTCTACCCTTTGGGTTTCAGGGTTTGGTAAACTCGCGGATCTCGTTGTAAACTCGCGATTTCATGCGAGATTACTCGAGTTTACCCGAGTTTACTCGAGTTTACTCAAAAACGAGTTTACCTCCGAGTTGTCCCGTTTTGCTTCAATAAACTCGTAATCTCGGACGATATTACGAGTTGTAACTCGAGATTGACAACCATGGATGTAATGTAACCAACTCTTGTTGCTCTTTGTCACCATCTCATTGCTGAGAAATTCTAGGTGCTTTTCCCTAGAGAAACCCATCTCTTACTCTGTTGTTTAATGTTACACATCAGTGTTGTGGGCCATTCTGATTTAGAAAACTTTTATATCAAGAAACCAATGGCCTAGACTAATATTAAATGGCACATAATAAGCATGGACTTCGATACAGACACCAAAACACGAACACGAACCCAAAGACACGACTAATGCTTTTATGTACAGAATGTATACAAGGCACGTAATAAGAGATCAATGAAGCTCGGACTACCATATACGCATCAGACACGATATGGATATTAAGACACAACTAATGTCTTTATATGTCCAAAATATGAAACACAAGGACACGATAGACATACATATATATATATATACATACATATATATATATATATATATGTATAT